TAGTAGTAGTAGTAGTATAGTAGTCGCAGTGGTAGGAGTAGGAATACGAGTAGTAGTACGAGTAGTAGTAGTAGTAGTAGTAGCAGTAGTAGTAGTAGTAGTAGTAGTAGTAGTAGTGGTGGTGGTGGTAGTAGTAGTAGTGGTAGTAGGAGTAGTAGTGGTAGTAGGAGTAGTAGTTGTAGTTGTAGTTGTAGTTGTTATATTATTACAAGTAGTAGTAGTAGTAGTAGTAGTAGTAGCAGTAGTAACAGTAGATTCATGACAAAATCAGAAACTGGGCCTTGAGTCTGCATCAAAAGCCAGACGCGCATCAGAAACTGCGCATCAGAAGCCGCCGCACACGACAAACTGCGCATCAGCAACCGTTGTGCATCGTCAACCAGTGCAGAATCTAGCGGGTATCAGAAACTGGAGGTGTGTAACAGAAACTGGAGTTTGGAAACTGGCACGGGGCCAGGGGTGGGGTTGGGGGCGGGGCATGATAACGTCCATGGTCTAATGCATTCTGAGCACAAAGCATCTAGGGCCCAACAGAGCATCCATGGCTCAACCATGACAGCATGGTCTGATGCATTCTGTTTCCATGTGGGGCATGATCACGTCCATGGTCTAATGAGTTGAAATGCATCAAGAGCGCAAAGCATGCAGGGCCCACATCCCTCTCTCGTTTCAGTCTTTCTGGTTTCCGAATCATGGTGTGGTTTCCGAATCAGTCGGTCTGGTTTCTGAATCAGGCGTCTCGGTTTCCGATTCAGCCGGTCTGGTTTCCGAATCATGGCTGGTTTCTGCTAGCGGCGTCAGGGGTGAGCGCAAGGTTGTTTACAAGTTTTCAGGTTTGGGGTTTAGGGAGGGGAGTAGTGGTCGTCGTAGTAGCAATAGTAGTAGTAGTAGTCGTCGTCGTAGTTGTCGTAGCAGTAGCAGTGGCAGTAGCAATAGCAGTAGCAGTAGCAGTAGCAGTAGCAGTAGCAGTAGCAGTAGCAGTAGCAGTAGTTCCATGTAGTACCACTAGTAGCAGCAGCAGGAGCAGCGGTAGCAGTAGAAGCAGAAGTAGTAGTCGTCGTCGTAGTAGTAGTGATAGTATAGCATGAGTATTCGTGCTATCGTTTTTTGTGTATGACATTTTGTTTCGTTATGTTATGTTACATGTTAGGATCTGTTGTATAGATAAGATGTTGTACTATACAGTATACACTTTTTAAAGTATATATACTTGTCCCATGCTGCATCAGTTTACGACGTATCATGTTATGTTCTGTTGTGGTGCATTGTATGGTAGTTTTATGCAATATGCATACTGCACATATGGTATTGTGTTGCACTATATTAGTAGTCTATTGCATTGTGTCGTCATGTCATATGGCGCTGTGTTATGTTCTGAATTGCTTGTTTTTGCTTTTTGAAGCCTGATGTCATGTTATACTACACAGCTCGGATGCTATTTCATATGATGTTATAGATCATGCTATGTTGCTTTATTTTGTATTATGTTGAAGCATGTGGTATCCTAGCGTATTTTGACGTGCTATACTATGCAATATATATATATATGCACACACACTGTAGCTTTTCTTAAAACATCATAACTTACTAAGGTATTTTATGTCAGAGCGTTATACATCATCTTATCGTTTATGATAATGTAAGGGACATATTATATTGTATTTTGGTACATTTGTATGGCTTTGTTTGCTCCATGACATCATACTACAGTGCATGATTTACAGTTGTTGTTTTGCCTACATCATATCATGTCATATAAGTATACAGGTACGACTAGCTAAATTTCATGATATTGTATATACGGGTTATACTATTCGTATTCAATTCTACTCTGTTCTATTCTATTCTTTACATTATATTCTGGTATAGTCTGTGTTGTTCTTGCGTGTTTTTTGTTATAACGTGTTTTACTAAACGGTATTATGCTAAGTTATGTTAAGTTAGATTTACTATATTACATTATATTATGTTGTGTTCTATTGTGTGGTAATATATCACATAATATAATCATATATATTATGTTATATAAGTTTAGACAATATAATATAATATTATACTATATTATGTTATATAGTATTGCACCATACTATCTGCATTCTGTTAGACCGTACTCTTCTATACTCTGGTAGGATTTGATCTGTCGCCGGGTTTGGAAGCCTAGCTTCACCTAGAAAGAATCGCAGTGTGTGTCGTGTTTTCGCTGGGTATGATGTGCCACAACGGCAGTCCCACCCAGCTTCGGTTTTGCTTGACAGCTTGTGTGGCAGGGCGAGCAGATGTTCTTCTACTGGCGGCCGGTGCCGCCAAAGACAAGATACGTGATTTGCCAGCGGTACATGGCGTCAGGGGCTGACTTGTTCGAACAAATACAGCATGCCAGACGCTCGAAGGACTGACAAAGTCGGGGCTGCACGGGCAAAACTAGTTCATCTCTGCAAAGCTTGTGCGGCACCAACCACAGTACCTCTATGAAGCCCGTAGATGCGACGCTCGTGCAGGAGCTGATGAACACCCCCGCCATAGCCTTCTTCAGTCAAAGAACGCACAAGTGGTATGAGAACCTGGACCGTGCCGACTCTGCATGGTCATTGGCCAGTCGCGTTGAATACAAGGAACTCACTTCAGCCGAGCTCAAACGTCAGGACACTGAGGACTTAGACAAAATGTTTGATGATGTTGAGGAGGAGGAGGAGGAAGTGGCTTGCGTGAAACCACGACAGCATCCATTGCGAAATCCACAAACTCCAGGTGTCCCGTGCCCATCAACACCAAATTTGACACCCCTCCCGCAAGCTTGCCCCTTGACACCCACTCAGGCACTCGGCCAACCAAGCCCATCCACCCCGAATCTCCCACCCTTAGGGGCTTGCCCCTCAACACCCACTCAGGCACCTGGCCAACCAAGCCCATCCACGCCGAATCTCCCACCCTTAGGGGCTTGCCCCTCGACACCCTCGCAGGCACCAGGCCAGCCAAGCCCATGCACAACGAACTTCATGCTGACACCCTTCCAGCAAGCCGTAACACAGACAGGGGCGTGTCCCCTGGCGCCCTCCTCTCAGGCCCCCAGACAGCCAAGCCCGTCTCTGCCAAAGCCAACCTACCCGCAAGCCCATGCAGAGCGATATCCCTTGGCACAACCCTCTCAGGCCCCCGGCCAAGCGACGGCATCCATGCCAATTAATACGCCGACACTGGACCTGCAAGCCCAGTCACAGTCAGAGGCCTATCCCCTGTCACACGGCGCTCAGGCAGGCGCCCAGCCGAGCCCGTACGTGCTGACCACACCTTCAGGTGCAGTGCAGGCAGTCACAGGCCCAACGCAGGTGCCCTGCCCACAGCCAGGGCTTACGCAAACACGCCGACTGCCGCCACCCCGACATCTGCGTCAAGGCAGGTCGTATGGCGGGGGTTTGCACATCTTCAACTCGGAGGTTTCATCTTTGCAGCTGGTGCAGCGCATCCTAGGGTCAGACACCATTTAGTTTAACGCAGTCTTCTGACAAAAGTATTCATCTAGAGGTCCTGAGTAAGAGGCCGTGTCGATAAGATCAACCACCTCAAACTCGACGCCTGAGCCATGCAAGTTCCCAGCGTGCCTGCGAGGTCCAGACATGTGCTGAGACGCGGATTTCGAGGCACGTATGACGTTTTGCGGCAGGTGGTCTTGGTGGTTCAGGCAATTTATATGTCGGAACATTGGGGCTCTGCATTAAGGGAGCCCGGGAGCGAGGATTGACGCCGCCGCTGGCCCCAAACCACGTGCCGGAAGTTCAAAAAGCACCCTTTGTTCTTGGCTTCTCCCTGGTTCAAGCCGCAAGAGCCCGCGCTACCTTCAGCAAGCCAAAGGCTTTAAAGTCCCTGAAGTCCGCAAGCCCTCACTGCCTTGATGCTCCGCCGCCGGCTGTATTTTGGGGTTCGATATGGGAGTCCGGGATCTTTCGGGCAGGGTCCGAGAAACTCACCGGAACATAATCTCCCTCCACCCCTAATCCACACCATCCCGTTGTCGTAATTGACGAAGACTGGCCTGCATATCGCAGCCCGTAGCCAGAAAGTCTAAAGAAATGGCAGCCCGGCGGTTGTGTGATCTAGGAAATCTAAATAAATCTGCAAATACATACATATATATACACACACTGACATGACATGACATGCCATGACGTGACGTGACGTGACGTGACGTGACGTGACATGACATGACATGACATATCTCTATAACACGAAGATGCTGTGGACCTTCCTTGGAAGGTGATCGCCGAGCTCACGCTGATGGTGGCCGAAAGCTGCTGATGTGATAGACTGCTACATTTCATTTTTACTTGGGTGGCATCGAGAAAACCACAGCTGCGGCAGCCGTGCGCTGTGTGCGCTCATGGTTGCCGCACACAGCTGTTACTGTGCAAGGGTTGCGCTTCATATACGTGTCAGCTTATCCCATCACGCTGCATTACACAGCCACGTCATAAGGTGCCGATACTCATGGTCCAGGGCAAAGTCTCCCGCAAAGAAGTCTGGCAACCCAGCACCAGCTCCTGAATCGTTCTTTCGCGATGGACGTCAAAAGCTGCCAGCGTTGCGTGCAGAGGGTTTGAGCTGGGTTGCTGCCTAATCAGATTCAGCGCGTCCCGGCCCGAAGGTCGTAGATGAAACAGACAGGCCACCAGAAGCTCCTGCCCGTCCTCGCGAGTGTATCGCCTAAGACCAAAGTAACTGTGTGTGCGTGCGAACGCTCTTTGCCCATGACCCGCAGAATCGGGCCTGGACCTCTCTGAAATTCGACTTGGTCTGGGAGGCCATCGCCCAGCCTCCCCAGCTACTCCACGACCAGCGTTGCCAGGTCGATTCGGGTCATCCGCTCAGCTCAAAGCTTTTCCAAAAGGATCCTTTCTCATGTCGTCTTTGGACTGTTGCCGTTTTCTGCTATTGCTGTTGCTTGTCAGTTCTGACCAGTGGCTGCTGCTATGTATGCTACTTCTGCTACTCCTTCTTGTCGTCGTTGTCGCCATTACCGTTGTTAGTTGTGCTGTTACCATGACCACTGTCAATGCGAAGTCTCAGTCGCACTCTTGTTGCTGTTGCTGTTGCTACGGCTATTTGTGAATTTCTTCTCATCGTGACCATGTTTCTTCCTTTTTAGCATGCCAGCGGAACATGGTATCGCACAGGTCTATCAGCTTGATGCCATATCTGTGAACCAGAAACGACCCGTTGGCTGCGTCTGACTGAGGCGATTCTGAACAAGTCAGCGCCCAAGACCTGCTAAAGTTACAGTCATTAGTTGAAGATTCTAGGACAGAGACGGGTAGTTCGGGGTTTGGCTTCCAAATGGCAACGGGAAGGGTGCCTGAAATCTGGCCCTTTGAAGCGCCGTCGGCGTTGTTCTGGAGCTGAGCTCTTGTCGTTGGGGTAGTGGTGGTGGTGCTAGTAGCAGCGGCTGGTTTCAGCGTAGGCATGACGACTGCTTTCGTGAGCAAGTCGTTGCAGTACATCGCTTTCATGGGTTGCGAGGTCATCGTGCACTTGGTTTGATACTTAGTGGCAACTTACGGTCAGGCGATCCATGGAAGTTCAGCTGCTGGTAGCAAGACATCAAAGACTATTATTCTTAAGAAGAGCAAGTCTAGCACCAACATCCGGCCAACCTCCCTTTTGTAAAGTGGCTTGAACAGGCTCACCCTCGAGAAGTTCCACCAGCTGTACGAACAGCTGCTTTCTTCGGGCATAAGGCCGGGTGAGAACTCTATGTTCTGGATTCGTGGCTTGAAAACGCTGCTGCCTGCGTGATCCACACCGAGGAGACCGGAGCACGTGCAAATCCTCCTCAAGGAGGCCCAAAGCCATCAACGATGAGACCAGTTACATGGACGTGTAGCTTCGTCGCTACTCTTCGTCAGTTGTACCCCGCTAAGCGCATTGCATCCCAGATAAGCACCTTCTAGCCACCATCTCCAGGTGTTTGACAAGGCGCAGGTGTTCGTCTCAGCTCCAATCGGCTTGCTCGCTGCAAGTTCTTCTTGACATACCCTGCAACCTTCAGACAGGCTTGCAAGAGCACGTGGTTCCTGAAATCTGTTCCTTGCGGGTACTCAGTTACCGGGGCTATCGACTTGCTGTCCTGTATAATATATATAATATATAACCTATATAACATTACATATGTAAGTAAATAGACACAATCTGCTCAGGTTCAGCACCCATTCCTGCCTATGTATGCTGACCTGTGTGCACGCCTGGCTGCCGATGCCCGCGTCACAGCAGCGTGCCCATCGAGTGAGGACAGGCTCACCACACTAATGTCAGCGATGCTAATCATCAACATCATAACAGTAATAAATATGAAGTAATAGTACTTGTAATGTCCGCACAATCTAGGAAAGATGCATCAAAGTCTGGCCGGAGTCACGTATTTGGTTCAGGGCGTACTGCTGCAGGATTCCGTGCATCCAGGATTATGCGCAACAGTGCTTTCGGCATGCGGTGATCTTGCCATCAGTGTCGTTGTGAAATGGCATTCACCCTGCTTTCCTCCTCTTGGAGAATCATTGATTGGCCGTCACCCTAGTCCTACTCGATCCCTGTTTAGCCCTACTTGCCATGGAAATGCCGCGGCCTGACTGTAAACGCCTGCTAACAAGAAGTCCATTCTTGGCACAGGACTGCTTCCCGCGCATTCTCTTAGACATGCCTCTCTGCAGCACCTCATCACGGCAAGCCTCTATACATCGAAGTAGCTGTGGAGTTGATCTCTTCTGCGTAGTGGTCAGGGCTTCGATTCTTGTGGCAACGAAGCCGAGGTGTCAGAGCTGCTTTGCCCAGCCCTGCTCTCAAATTTTCAACCATCAGCCTCGGCTCAGTAGCGTGAAGAAGCAGCTGTGACAGCAGTGACAATGATATATGTAATCCCACTCGGCAAAATGGCCACAAGCAGAGGCGTCTTCACCTCGCCTGCAAAAGACCTGCCACCGGATCCAGAAAATGATTTGCTTCGCACATGGCCTCACGAAGTATTCTGAAAACTGGAGGCTGCTTGCCGCAGAGGACGACGATCCTAGAAGCTTTGTGCCTTCCTCAGAAGCTGGGTTACAAGGCACTAGGTTTGACTGTAGTCTAGCATTCAGAGCACAACGATCTCCTTCCCAAACTACTTCCGGGAAGGAAGTGGATTGCACAAGATGGGGGATGCCGAATGCGTCCTGTCCATGCATGCACGAGCATGGCCGTGGTTGTGTTTTTGCAGTATCATCCTGGTGCCTTTCGCAGCCTCCTCTGATCGAGTCCACGCGGCGACTGTGCTGGATACGTCTGTTCCTCGAAGACCCTCTTGAGTAAGGGAGTGAAATCCATCTACTGTGTCATACGCTGTTCCTTGTGGTTTGGTGGCTTCTCGGTCCTCGTGTGTCTCTTGTTCGTGTCTGCGCCCAGCCTCCACAGTAAACTCACTTGGCCATGGCTCAATACGGGAAAGCCGAGTACTGGGAGGACCAGCCGACATGCCACCCTGTCCCGTGCAGTGTTCGCCTGACCAGAAACACGTCGACGTTTCGGCTTCCTATGCATCCGATCTCAGGCATGCCCTTTCTACTTAACTTACTGTAACTGTTGCGATTCAGGCTCATGTCTTTGATCACTGTAGGCCTCCGCAAGTGTGAAGCAGTCAATTGTAGAGCAGATGCACGCAGATTTAAATTTGTCAAAGCAGGAGCGCTACACACGAGATCCGGAACCTTTTGACTGGTACCAGCGGTGGGCCGGTCTCAAGGAGCCCTGCAGAGAGTGTGTTTGAGATGTTGGCTGGGAGTGTTAGGGAAGGGGCACTACGGCGCTTCTCAGCCGAGAGTTTGTCTGTTGTCTTGCCTTAATTCCTCCTCCCCCCAAACAGATCTCAATCTCGGCCCCGCCCGAAACCAAGCCAGGACACGTTCGCCGAGTATGTGCAGCCCTCCCACAGCATTTTGATGCTCGGCTGTGGCAACTCGAGGCTCAGTGAGGACCTTCGCAACGGGAGCAAACTGTCAGCCACAATGAGCGATGCCGCATTTTCATTTGAGCGCTTTCGTCGTCGCCCATGTCGTAGGATTCGGGTGAAACTGCTTGGATTGGGCGCTATCAGCGTTATTATGTTGCTGGTGCGCGATTGACCTTGGCAGGAGATGTATGAGGAAGGCTTCCACAGTATCACCAACATTGACCTGTGCCTGACGGTCACCAAAGCCATGCAGGAGAAATATCGTGACAAGCCCGGTCGGTTACTCAGTATGTAAAGCTATTCCAAAGGCTTGTGCAGCTTGGCACAGGCCCACCTTGTGCTCGAATGCCCACTTGTCTTCACATGGGACTGCCGGAAATGGTAAGAGAGAGCAAAGATCCCCCCAGGCATGACATACAAGCAGATGGACGGACGATCGATGGAACTCCCGGATGCAAACTTCAACGTTGTCATCGACAAGGCCTGTGCAGAGAAAAGCGGGAAGATGTACATTACTCCCCTCAGCCGCAGCCTCTCCTCCATGTCCAGGCCTGCTTGGATTCCATTCTTTGTGGCGAAGGATCTACGCACAATGCTCAAAAGCTGCTGACAGAGGCCAGAAGCCAAGACTTGTGTTGATGTTGCGGGTGCTCT